GTCGGCATGGCCTCAGCGCCAGCCCGGGCGGCCCTGGTGCCCGGCTGTTTGGGTGGCTGAGAGAGCGCAGCCTGGGCCGCGGGCTGTTCGTGGACCCGGCGCGGGACAATTTCCGCACCATGACCAACCTCTATGGTTCCATCCATCCCGCGGACTCGGTGTACCTCAGCACTCGCACCCACGGGGCCGTCTTCAACCTCGAGTACTCGCCCGACGGGTAAGCGCGGCCCTTCGGAGGGCGGGTGCCCGCCTCCGCCTGGCTTGGCTGCCCAGGGTTCGCTCGCTGGGCCCGGGCCGGGGTGTGCGAGTCCGTTTGGGGCCGCTGGCCTTCATGCCTTGGGCACTTACCGCCCGAGGCCCCCTCCCGCCCTTTGAGGTAGGCCTCCCCGGACTCCTTTGCTCACCGTCGGGACGCCCAGGCTCAGTGTACAGGTGCCTAAAGCCACCTCGGCAGGTCTGTCAGAGCCAGTCCAGAGCTAGGGTCCTCTCGCACACAGTAGATGCTCAGTTAGTACACTGGATAAATGCCACCCTAGGCTTGCATTTTTCTCACCTAAGCTGTGTCAAGTGTAGGAAGCTTGCAGATGCCCTGTTCCCTGTGGCTGACTTGCGCTGAGTGGGCAAGTGTGCAATTCCTTTGCTCCAGTAAGGTGCTAAGACACTGCCAGAGAGGTGTCCTGTGATGTAGGGCATTTGTGAAGTTCCCAGGCTAGACTACATGCTTCTGTTAAGGGGGTCCAGCCTTTTTCTGGCTGATTAAATATTTCATGTTTGGCCGTGATTTACTTTGGGCCAATTTTCAAAATATATCTTTTTAAAACCTTGTTTTGCTAGTTCAGAAACAAGTTTAACAGCAGTCAGTGGAAAATATTTACTCACAGTTCGACCATGAGACGACATAGTTAATTTAACTCTTATGCAATCAAGGCTTCTTGATTCCTGGCCATTTGCTTAGTTACTCATCCATTCCCTCATTCAGCAGATAATTGTTGACCACTTGTATGTTCCAGGTGCAGAGGTTGCAGTGATATGCAAAACCAGCTAATGGCACCACTTTCATTGAGCTTGGGACCAACTGGTTCAACCAAATTATTAACAGCCGTACTAAATGATTCATAATGTATATTTACAAATTGAGAATAGCGTGTTTGAAGTTTACTGAGGAAGTGACACTTAACAAAGATCAGAGAAATGAGTAAAAGATGAGTTAGTCAAGATAGGGTTGGGGAGGGGATAGAAGTATTTCAGATGGAGGAACTGGTATGTCAAAGGCCCTGTGGCTAGAGGGGCAGCATGTCATGTCAGAGAAGCTGAAAGATGATTGGTTAACAAAGCAAAAGATTTTGCTAAAGAAAAATGTAAAATATTCTAAGGAAGGAGCAAAGCAACAGAATCTGGAGTCACAGTGAGCAGGTACACCCTATTCCATTTCATTGATGCAAATGCTTCTTCCTAATTACATTTGGTGCTGGGATCTCCTTATAGCAGTTGGGTGGAACTTGTAGCAATGAATGTGCACCTGAATACAGGGAAAATTGGTGAGAGGAGAAACTATTTTGCTGAAGTTTATTCATGGAACTGCTTCTCTCCTCTCCTTCCCTATTCTTAAGGCTCCTTCCAAAATACCATGAGTTTGTTTGTTCCTCATAAACATTTAGTTCGTCTCTTCTCTGTATCCCAGCTCCTCTCCTCCCTACCTCCTACCTATTCTGGCAGGCCTTCAGAAGTGGCCACTTCTTTTTGGAGGTGGGATTGTAGGTAGGAAGTGAGAGGGATAGAATGAGTTACAAAGAAGAAATTCCATTGCCAGTGAGATTAGAATGAGGAATATATTACTAATAGTTCTTGTTTGAATCAGGACTACATTTTCCTGTAGATACATTTATGTAAAAGGTGGTTAGGTACTCTGATACTTAAAATAATTCAATAATCTTTAATTACCCAGTTAATATATACTTAATGTAGAAAACCTAGGCAATAAATGAACAAAAAGAAGCTAAACAAAACCTATGATTCTAGAGATTAATTGGATATCCAAGGAAATTTTTTCTTTGTGTATGTTTATTATAATATAAACATGGAATCATACTGTTTTGTAGCCTGCTTTTTTTCATGCAATATATAGTGAATTACCTATGTTAATCTATTTCTAAAACATATAAAATTTTTCATTAAATAAAACCTCTATAAACCAAATATTTTAGATTTATGTCCTTATGATAAATCCCTGCAATGAATTAAAGTTATGAAGATTTTGGATACCTATTATTAAATTGTTCTCTGTGAAGACTATACCAGTTCCCAGTTCTGTTAGACACATATGAAAGTGCGCATCTCCTCATACCCTTGCCAACATTACATATGGCCTTTCTTTTTCATCTGTGTCAAGTTAATAGGTGAAAATAGTTCAGTGTTTTAATTTTTTAGTATCTTACTACATCTACCACTATACCCCAGATTTTTATAAGACTTAAAGTAATTTTTAGAAAAAATGACATATCTGTGTTAAATGAGATAATTTCTTATATCCTTCAGTTATATATGAGTTAAATCAGCTTACAAACTGCTGTCACTTACAAGGACTTCTCAGTCCAGAGAAGGAGAGGTGACACTGAAGGTAAGAATTAAAATTATATATTTAATAGAGACTAAATTAGAATTTGACACTAAAAGAATAAATGAAAGGTATATGGATTAGGAGATAATTTCTAAAGAAGTTAAAAAATGTTTCAAGAAATAGCAGTATTGTCAAAATAAGTATGTTACCTCCTGAGATGACATTTTGGAAAAAGGAAATTTGATATAATAATATCAAATGTGTGACTTTCTCAAACAATTCCTCTGTGAGAATACATTAGGCACTGTTGAAGAGAGAATTTATGTATTGGAAAATAGAAATGAAGAAATTACCCAGAATGCAGATGAGAGAGACAGAGATTGAAAATACAAAGAAGGTTTAGTGACATGGTAAATAGAGAGAAAAAGCATACCATATATTTTGTCAGTTCCTGAAAAAAAATGAGTAGAATAATGGGGCAAAAACCTATTTGAAGAGATGATAACAACTTTCCAGAATTGGAAAAGAGCACTAAGTCATGATTTAAGAAGCCTAACACTCTCAAGTAGGAATCCTCTCTAGACATATAGTGAAACTGTATAACAACAAATACAAAATCTTAAAAGCTAGAGAAAAAGACCTTCAAAGAAGTAGCTGTGAAGACAATTAGTCATCAATAGTAGTGTAAATCAGAGGACAATGGTGATTATTTTCAGTATGCTGGAAAAACCCTGCCAATTTAGATGTCTATATCCAACAAAGAGAGGTTCTTTGTTCTTAAGAACAAAGATGAAATAAACACTTATTTACACAAGCAAAGCTTCCTGAGTTTGCCACTACACCTTCAATAATGGAATTCTGAGTTCAGACAGAAAATGTTTTCAGTTGGAAGGTCTGAGATGGTAGAAGTAATGAAGAACAAAGAATGGAAAATATGTATGTAAAACTAATTTTGTCTTTGGGATTAACAAAGATGGAACTAAAATAGAAGACAGCAATAGCATGTAAGTTATGAAGGGATGTTCTAAATTTCTTATTTTTTTTAGGGAGAATTATGATATATTAACTTTAGGCTTTAATGTGTTTAGTATGCATATTAATATTTGCAAGGTAGCCACCAAAAAAGAAGAAAGAATATTTCTAGACTAGTAACGGAAAAATATGGAATACAAAAATTTCAAAAGAAGAAAGGGAAAGAAAAAATAGAAAAGGTATAATAAAAAGCACAAAGAATGGCTAAAAATAAATCCACATATTACTAATTATAATAAATACAGAAGTACTAAATGTTCAGAAGGATAGAGAAATATTCAAACACGTTTTAAACAAAAGAAAGCTGGTGAGCTGTATTAATGTCATACAAAAGAGGCTTTAATGGAGGAAAAAATTACTAGAAATGTAAGGTCACTTCATAATAAAAAAAAAGCTTAGTGTGGGGCTGCCTGCCTGGAAGATAAAACAGTTCTGAACTTGAATGATTCTTTTAGATTTAAAATATATACATAAAAAATTGTTAACTTCAAGGAGAAAACAAGTTTATCATGGGGATGATTTTCACACACATCATAGTATACTTTAACCAGACAAATACAAACATAAAAGGGATACACAAGATACAACACTACTTAAAGTCTTGCTCTAAAAGGCATATGTAGAATGCTGTATTCAGGCCTGATAATTCAGCTAGTACACATTGGTTCAGCTGTACCAGTTGTTAAAATATTGATATATGTCCATAGTAGTTGAATAGTTACTGTCCCAAGCCCATTGAGTGCCCTCCTAATGCTTCAGCACCTTCCATGAGACCTCCCAGAATAACCCTTTATATAGTAACTAAAGAGTTCAGAACTGGCACAGCATGCTGCCAACAGACATCTCACTAGAGAGCTAGTTATATCATCCATTTTAATTGCTCTTCACCCATGCCAGGTACTCTCCCCCACGTACAAAACAAATCCAGTGACCATTTGGCTTCTCCTAGTGTGGGGCTGCCTGCTTTTATCAAGCACTCTTCCACTTTCACATGGTCATCTGTGAGAACTGCAGCCTCTGGGGAGATGCACAGAAATGAACAGAGCGGTCAGATGAGAGTAATAGTATTAGTGCATGCACCATCCAAACATATTAACTCTTGGCATAATGTGTACTTCCATGGCAGGATAGAATCTATAGCAGAGGAATGAGGCCTAAGGGGATGGTTTATGGATCAAAGACTCCTGGAATGCAGATCCCTAATTTTATCATTCCTATTGAATTTCGCCAGTATCTAGTGGGGTAAGTTTGCCAAAACCCACTGAATGCCAGCCCACCATGGGCATTAATAATGCTCATTTTATTAATGAAAATGATGGCCAACAAAAATCTCTGTGCCAGACACATTTAGTTGAGGGAACTGAAAAGCAAAAAGATCATATACAGAGAGTTTGTACCCTGGCTTATGCTCATAACTGCCATATTACATTGCCTCTCATCTGGGCTGAGGGATTAGGTTTGATATAATTAAATATATATCAATAAGTTACTTTTGTAACTTAGTTATTAAATAATTGAATACACATTGAATACACAAAATTAACAGCAAGCATTATAAAGACTAAAATATTTTAATATACTTGCTGTTACTTCAGCAAAAGTTAAAAAGAGGATTCAGCCCTGTGAAC